TGGTTTCCAGCTTTAAGGTGTTACAAATAAAGCTTTCTAAGAAACTGCCTAACTTTTCTTAAGTGGTTGTACCACTTGACATTCCCACCAGCAGAGTTTTGAGGGTTCCACTTTCTGTATATCCTGGCCAGCCTTGGTCAACATTTAGATTTTGGTGGTTCTGACAGGTGTGGTGGTACCTCACTGTGGTTTTAATTCGCATTTCTTTGATTACTAAGTGTGCTTAGCATTTTTCATGAGCTTATTTGGCATTCAAGTAATTTCTTTGGTGGTGTGTTTCTTCATCTTTTCTATCAGATATATGGTTTGAAGTATTTACTCCCAGTCTAGCTTGTGTTTTCATTCTCTTAAAAGAGTCTTGCAGAGCAGAACGTTTTAATTTAATGTAATCTACAGTATCAATATTCATATAGATTATGTTTTCAGTATATCTAAATCTTTGCTTAACCCAAGGTCATGCAGATTTTATAGTTCTAGATTTTACATACAACCACTTCGAGTTAAATTTAATAAGTGGTGCATGAAGCGAGGTTCATTTTTTTTCCTGTGTGTGGCTATGCAATTCTTCCACCATTTATTGAACAGAGTATCCTTTTCCTACTGAACTGTCTGCATTTATGTTGAAAATCCCACTCGTCTCTTTATGTGTGGGTATATTTCTTAACTATTCTGTTCTATGGATCTATTTGTCTGTTTTTCCTTTCAGACTATTTTAAAAATAAATATACCTATGCTCTATTCTTTCTATGTTCTTGCCAATGGCAAGATTTCATTTTTTGATGGCTGATAATGTTCCTCCTCTGTGTGTGTGTGTGTGTGTGTGTGTGTGTGTACACACCACATCTTTATCCATTCATCAGTCTATGGACATTTGGGCTCTTTCCATTTTTAAAAAAATTTTTTTACTATGTTGAAAATTTTATATATATTTTTTGAGAGAGTGTGTGTGTGCCCACTCAAGCAGGGGAAGGGCAGAGGGAGAGGGAGCGAGAGAATGCTAAGCAGACTCAGTGTTCAGTGCAGAACCTGTGTGGGACTCGATCTCATGACCATGAGACACGCTTAACCAGCTGAGCCACACAGGCACCGCAGCTCGTTGATTATTCTGAGTGAAATAAGTCAGAGACCAATATCTTATGATTTCATTCATATGTGGAATTTGAGAAATAAAACAGATGAACATAGGGGAAGGAAAAATAAGCTGAAAGCAGAGGGAAGCAAACTGTAAGAGACTTTTAACTATAGAGAACAAACAGACAAAACAGGATTGATGGAGGGAGGTGGGTGGGGGGATGGGCTAAATGGGTGATGGGCATTAGGGAGGGGACTTTGTTGGGGTGAGTACTGGGTGTTACGTGATGAGTTACTAAAATATACTTTTTTTAAAAAGTATTTTATTTATTTTTGAGAGAGAGAGACAGCATGCGCAGGGGAGGATCAGAGAGAGAGACACAGACTCTGAAACAGGCTCCAGGCTCTGAGCTAGCGTCAGCACAGAGCCCGACACGGGGCTCGAACCCACGAACTGTGAGATCGTGACCTGAGCCGAAGTCGGACGCTCAACCGACTGAGTAACCCAGGTGCCCCAGGAAAATACACTTCTGAAACTAACACTACTGTATGTTAACTAACTTGAATATAAATTAAATCTTGGAAGAAAAAAAACTGGAAATGACGGCAGAGTACAAATCATGATTAAAAAAAGAAAAACAAGATGAAAGAAACCAAAAGGGTAGATTGGAAAAAGAGGTATCATAGGTGAGGAAGTTATTCCAAAGTATCTCATTTGTAGTCAAACTATAGTTTAAAGCAAAATTAGATAATCCAGTTATGCTTCTGTGGGTTTATTTTTAAAATTAATTCTACCAAGTAAAAGCAGCTGTTTACATAAACTAAATATCACAGAGTTGATGACATAGCTATAGTAAGATTTTTACATACAAGCTGAATAATTTGAATGCTTTTCTTGTCCAAATGGAATTTCTGCTGGGATATATTCCATGCTTGGGGCTAATTTCTAGGCCTTAAATATTAAAAGAAAATCTAATCCACTGGAAGTAACAAATATTTCAAAATTAGGACTAAAGTATTGTGTACTGTATATGACAACAATGTTAATGAGGTTTTTCATAAGTAGAACAGTACCTATGAGCAATATCTAAAGTTGTTTTTGTGTATACTTAAAACACTTTTAAACGTTTAAAAGCTGTTCTACAGTATATATTCAGCAACTGATTTTTCATTTTAACATTGTTTTTGAGATCTATTTCATGCTGACTTTGACAACTATAAATAGGATGACTTTATGTCTTGGTTTCCTAGGGACAGCCCTAATTCACTCCAGTTAACCTGACATAATTATAAATAGTACTGCTTTTCACTCTTGTCAGTGCCCCATGTGGTTATCTTAGATACAGGGTTTGAATGATCAGTATAAAATGCACGCTAATCCATTTCCTGTTTGACAGATACATAGGTTATTTTTTCTTCTGTTTTAGAAATAGGGTGGCAGTTAATTTCTCAGTTTCTCTCTTGTGCCTGGATGTTGATCTTGTATACATATCTAGAAGAGAGTTGCTGAGTTCATTGGAGCATTATTGATTTTACTAGATAACTTCCTCCACTGTGATGGCAGCAGTTCACACTTGTTCAGCTTTGCCGGTTTTCTTTTCCCAACTTCTTGCCAGCTTTGGACATTGGCTGATACTTTAGTATTTCAGGGGATCTTGTGTGAGAGTGATACGTTTTAATTTGTATTTTATTGGTTACCTAGTTTATCATTTTTTGCCCATTAACTTTCCTGAGACTGGACTCTTCCATTTCCTTTGCCTGATTTTCTCTTGGGTTATTTGCATTATTGGGTGATTTGTGTTATTGGGTGATTTGTATGAGAGTTCCATATGCATTCTGGATAGTAATTTTTTAATGTATAGTGCTGCATTTTTTAGTTTAAAACCAGCACTTAAAGATCATAAGATATTCTGCTCTTTTGGCTTTGCCAGAGTAAGCTCTTCCATTAAAAATTCAGGTGGGAGGGCATCTGAGTGGCTGTCAGTTGAGCATCTGATCTCACAGCTCATGAGTTCAGTTCTCATGTCGGGCTCTGTGCTGACAGCTCAGAGCCTGGAACTTGCTTCAGATTCTTTATTTTTATTTATTATTATTTTTAGACTATGAACCAGGGAAAAATACAGCAATTTCTCATTCTGGTTTAGTCTAAGTATATTAATTTAAGCCTTAGGATCTAAATTCTTTACTGATACTCTCATATTGGAGAGTAGCAGGTAAACTACTCTCCCGTATGACTAGGAAGGTATTCTGTTTTGATCTAATGCTTATAATCTGGGGAAAATGGGAACCGGCCTTGAACTAATTTGTTAGGTTTCAGTGAAACAAGTAGTAAATGGGACAGATATTCAAGAATAATGTGGGGGCGCCTGTGTGACTCAGTTGAGTGTCTGACTAGGTTTCACCTCAGTTCATAATCCCACAGTTTTGTGAGTTCCAGCCTCACGTCGGGCTCTGAGCGGACAGCACTGCAGCCCTGCTTAGGATTCTTGTGCCCATCCATGTGTGCATGCTCATTCTCTCTTTCAAAATAACTTTTTAAAATAAAAGAATAGTGTAGATACACCAGATGAGGATAAACATACCTCCACAAATCGTTCAGGAATTGACCAATCAAATTCTGTTTTGGCCATCCTTTGAGAAAACTGAAATAAAATGTCTTGCCTTTTATACTGCAATTGATCTGTACATATCTGTTTGTATGTTTAACTTGAGGATGATTTTGTCTCCTTAAATGAAAAGTTGGATTATCTCATGCCAGGTATTTTCCCCCAAAAAGTTTTATTTTGATAATAACAATAATTCAGGACTTCATGTTTGCCCGTTGCCTTTCTTAATACTCAAAAGATACTAAATTTAAGTCATTGTGCTGATATTGAGGTGTAGAGATGATTTTTTTGAGTAAAAATAACATTTTGTTAACTCACCCTTTTTCAGATTATATTTGGTTTCATTATGAAATGAACTAAGCTTAGCATTTTTAGATTTTGTGGTTTCTCAAAGATACTAGAAATTTCTCTGATATTGACTAAAAATGTGATCAGATGTGCGTCCTTCTGTATGTTAGAGCTATAGTTATCACCCTCAAATCTAGTGTTGCCACAAATAAGAATGTGTTTGTAATCTTAGAAGTGGAATACTCTTAACTGGGTTTAAAAATTTAGAGAGGGGCACCTGGGATGCTCAGTCGGTTAAGCGTCTGACTTCGGCTCAGGTCATGATCTCACAGTTTGTGAGCCCTGGGTTGGACTCTGTGCTGACAGTGCGGAGCCTGGAGCCCTTTAAGTTCTGTGTCTGCCTCTCCCTCTGCCCCTCCCCTGCTCACACTCTTTCTGTCTCTCTCAAAAAAAAAAAAAAAAAATTTAATTCATCAGGCTCTGACAGCTCAGCCTGGAGCCTGCTTTGGATACTGTATCTCCCTCCCTTTCTCTCTGCCTCTACCCCACATGCAATGCACTTTGTCTCTCTCTCAAAAATAAATAAAAATCAAAAATAAACATAAAATTTAGAGAAATTATAGGGTGCATGCTGGAAATATGTACCTCTGAAGTTCTTATAATGTTTTATAACATTTTGACTTTTGGGAATAATAATGAATTCCCACTGTTCATCACATTGCAATAAATTTGAATAAAAATCTAACCTGGTCCGTGTGGGTTTTATTTGTTCTTATGTTTATTTTTAAAAAGCAAGAATTCAATAAACTATTTGTAAAAAAAAAAAATTAAAAAATTATGTGGAAACTAATTTGACAATAAACTATTTGTAAAAAAAATTAAAAATAAAATAAATAAATAAAAAGCAAGAATTGCTGAAGTGTCTTGTCTTACTTTGAATTGGTTTTAGCTAAATAATTCAGTTTTTTTCCCCTGCCATTTTTTTCCCCTGTGTACTTGATCTTTCAAGTTGAACATCTTCAACATTTTTTCCAGGTTGAATTGACCAAAGCAATGGTTATGGAGAAGCCTAGTCCCCTGCTGGTCGGGCGGGAATTTGTGAGGCAGTATTACACACTGCTGAACCAGGCCCCAGACATGCTACACAGGTAAAACTTTTTTTTTTTTTTTTTTTTACCCTGCATCATCTAATGATTTTTAGTATGTAGGTACTTATTCTTGAGAGTCTCTTATTTGTCATGCACCTTGTAGAGTTGTTGCATAATATGTGCTTTGTACATCAGAGCCAATAAAAATTAAAACTTCAAATAGCATATACAAGTAGAAAGAAATTAGATTGTTATCTAAACTTACATATTATCAAAAGTCATGGCTGAAAATGTAAAAATGTAGCATTTATGCTTTTGTTTCTGTTTCTTATGGTGTTTTTGGTGAATCATGAGTATTTTGTAAGAATGTATTGAAGATTCTTTCTGTAATATTTTTGTGTCCACGTGCTTTTAAAAATTAGGGAAACTATTGGAAATACGGTATAGGCTTGTAATACTTTATGAAAGAAACACAAAAAGCTCTAGTAAAACTGTGTTTACGATTTTTCTTCGTAAATGCAAAGATTTTTAACATACTGTCTTAGTTTTTTCACTTGATACTCTGGGATCATCTCATAAGGGTAGTATATGTATCACATTAATTTTAGTATTCACATATTTTTTATTTTATAGAGATAGAGCATCCTCTAATTCCCAGCGGTGAATTTGTTGATTGCGTCCAGTATTTCTTATAAACAGTCCAGCGTTATACACAATTATAAATATACAAGTTAATTTATAGACTTATTAGAGTAACTTCTTAGAGATGCCAAAATGTCTATTTCCCTCTCTCCTTTGACCAGCGTGCATATTGGATATCACATGCTTATATTGGGTGCAGAAAAAAATTTATAAATTTGTTTTGAGTCCTTGCTATGAAAATGGAAAATGTCTCCATTTTTTTTTTTTTTTGAGAATTTACAATTTCCCATTTTCACCAGTTTCCTATTGATCTTCACAAAAACCTTTTAGTAAGGCATTATTAGGATAGTTAACTTTATTTTGCAGGTAAAGATGCTAAGCTGTTAAAAATATGCTGGTGTTGGGGGGCATGGGGGGCTCAGTTGGTTAAGCGACTTCGGTTCAGATCATGATTTTGTGGTTCACGAGTTTGAGGCTGGCATCAGGCTCTGTGCTGACAGCTTGGAGCTTGGAGCCAGCTTCACGGATTGTGTGTCTCTTCTCCCTCTGCCTCTCCCCTTAAATATTTAAAAAAAATTTGCTGGTGCTGACATGACTATTAAGTGATTGAACAGGTTTTCACATAATTCTTTTCCCTTTTTTCTTCTTTTTGTGTTTTATGTCAAAATTTGTTTCTGTGTCCTCAGAGATTAGGTAACTTTGGAAATTGAAAAGGAGCAGGGAGTGCGAGGGTGGCTCAGTCATTTAAGCATCCAAGTCTTGATTTCAGCTCCCGTCATGATCTCACAGTTCATCTGCATCAGGGTGGAGCCTGTTTGGGATTTCTTCTCTCCCTATCTCTCTGCCTCTCCCCTACTCTTGCTTGCTCTCACTCTCATTCTCTCAAGTTAATGAATAAAACTTAAAACAGGAGTTGAAAGAGAACTAAATGAATTAATATATTTCTTGTCAATATTGATATTTACTGACTCAAAGACCTTTTTTTCACATTTTACCTCTAAAGTACACCATAGGCATACAAGCGTATCTCATTTTATTGTGTTTCACTTTATGGTGCTTTTCAGATACTGTGTTTTTTGGCAGTTATAAGTTTGTGGCAATCTTATATCTAGCAAGTTTATTGGTGTCATTTTTCCAATAATACTTGCTTATTTTGTGTCTTTGTCACATTTTGGTAATTCACAAATTTCAGACTTTTTCATTATTATATTTGTTACTGGTTGGTAATCTGTGATCAGTGATCTTTTTTGTTACTATTATAATTGTTTTGTGGCACATGCCCAGGCATAGAAGACCGTGAACTTAATATTCAATAAATGCTGTATGTCTTCTGACTCCTCCACTGACTGGTTGTTGTTCCCCATCTCTCTCCCTCTCTTTGGGCTTTCTATTTCCTAAGATATCACAGTATTCAAATTAGGCCAGCTACTTAACCCTATAATGGCTTTAAGTGTTAAGTTAAAGGAAGAGTCACATGTCTTTCCCTTCACATCAAAAGCTAGAAGTAGTCTCCTCAGGAGGGAATGTTGAAAGCTCAGATAGGCCAAAAGTTAGGCAGTTAGGCCGCTTGGGCCAGTCAGCTAAGTTGTGAATGTAAAGGAAAAGTTTTTGAAATTACAAGTGCTGCTCCATTGAACACATGACTTCTAAGAAAGCAGAGCAGCCTTATGGATATGAGAGAGTTTGAGTAGTAGGATGGAAGATGAGATAAGCCACAGCATTCCTTTATTCCAAAGCCAGATTCAGAGCAAGGCCCTAACTCTTGAACTCTCTGAAGGCTAAGAGAGGTGAGGAAGCCACAGAAGATGAGTTTGAAGCTAGCAGAGGTGAGTTGATGAGGTTTCAGGAAAGAAGCTGTCTCTGTAACATCGAAGTGCAAGGTGAAGTAGCAAGTGCTGATGTAGAATCTGCAGCAAGTCATCCAGAAGATCTAAGTAAGGTAGTTAATGAAGGTGGCTGCACTAACCATAGATTTTCAGTAAAGATGAAACAGTCTTTATAGGAAGCAATTCATGGGAAGATGTCAAAATGCCAAGATGAATAGGAGTTGAGAAGTTGATTGCAGCCTTCATGTATGACTTTGAGAGGTTCAGGACTTTAGTGGAGGAGGTCACTGCACGTGTGGTAGAAATAGCAAGAGAACTAGAAGTAGAGCCTGAAGATGTGACTGAATTGCTACAATCTCATGATAAAACGTTAACAGATGAGGAGTTCTTAAGGATGAGCAAAGAAAGTGGTTTTTTTAAGATGGAATCTACTGGTGAAGATGTGTGAAGATTGTTCTGATGACAAAAAAGAATATACGTAGACTGAGTTGATAAAGTAGTGGCTCTCAGGATTTAAAAGGATTGACTCTAGTTTCCAAAGAAGTTCAACTGTGGGCAAAATGTTATCAAACAGTATCATACACTACAGAGAAATCCTTAGTGAAAGGAAGAGCTAATTGGTGGAAGAAACTGAATTGTTGTCTTAACTTGAGGAAATTGGCACAGCCATCCCAGACTTCTGCAACCATCACTTTGGTCAGCAGCCAGCCACATCGAGGCCAGACCGTCCTCCAATGAACAGATTAGGACTCCCTGCAAGTACAGATGACGGTTAACATATCTTTTTTAGCAATGAAGTGTTTTTAATTAAAATATATGTGTTTTTATAGAATACTGTTACACACTTAACAGACTAAGGTGTAGTGTAGACGTAATTTTTATATGCACTGGAAAACCAAAAAATCTATTTCATTCCATTTATTGCAATTTTTTTTAAGTTTATTTATTTTGAGAGAGAAGATGTGAGTGAGCAGGAGAGGGGAGAAGAAAGAATCCCAAGGAAGCTCTTGACTGTCATTGTGGATGTGGGGCTCAAACCCATGAACCGTGAGATCATGATCTGAGCTGAAATCAAGATGCTCAACTGACTGAGCGCCATCCAGGTGTCCCAGTTATCAAGAAATTCTAATAGTTATTTCTGGGTTGGGGCATTTTTGGTGTATCTTTGTGTCTGTGTCTGGCTTTCCTGATCCAGTATTTTTTTTCCCCCTGATCCAGTATTATAATGAAAAAACAAAGCAATTGAGGATATAGATGAATTACAGCTATGGGGAATTAAAGTCTAAAGATCTTAATGCATCAGCAAAAATTCTTAAAAGTTACTCTTAAAGCTTACCTGCATGAGTTACTGGTTTTGTTTTTGTTGTTGTTGTTTTTAAATTATGGAGTGTTTTTTTTTTTTTTATTTTTTTTATTTTTGAGAGAGACCACATGAGCAGGGGAGGGTCAGAGAGAGAGGGAGACACAGAATCTGAAGCAGGCTCCAGGCTCTGAGCTGGCTCTCAGCACGGAGCTAGACACCGTGCTCCAACCCATGGACCGTGAGATCATGACCTGAGCTGAAGTCGGATGCTTAACTCATTGAGCCAACCAAGCACCCCTAAATTACGGAGTTTTTCATGGAAACCCCTCATGCATTCCCAGATATAAAAGGATTAGATATTCTAAGGTATAGAAGAGTATAGAAGTCCTCATCTGTATTAAAACTGCCTGTTTTCCTATTGAGTAAAAACAGGAACTTGCTTTATTCTAAGTAGCCTTCCTGACATGAACTACAAGATCTTTCCCAACATAATCATCCTATTCTGAAATCTGGAGCTTATGACTTGTAAAGTGTTCTGCCTCATTGACCAAATCTATTTCGGTTCGGCAAATGTTGAGTGAAATGGAGGGAGTGGATCTATGATTGCATACAAAAATGAAAAACACATTCTTGTTTCCAAGAGTCTGCCAGTGAGGCAAATAGATACCAAACATGAAAAGTAAATATGAATTCTTAAGATACTTGTAACTGACAAGTAAATTATCTGTTTTACAGATTTTATGGAAAGAACTCTTCTTATGTCCATGGGGGATTGGATTCAAATGGAAAGCCAGCAGATGCTGTCTACGGACAAAAAGTAAGCATCCCAAACTTTATGTAGGCTGTCACACAGCTAGAAAATAACCCATATTGAGGCAGATACATATTTAATAGGTTTGCTGATATTTAAAGATAAAGTTTTTCAATGTCTTTTTAGAAATTTTGATTTCAGTAGCTATTTGGTAAATAAAACCATTGAAAAGCTTAGAGGGTCAAATTTGCTTATTTTGAATGATGTATTCTGAAAGTTTTCTGTTAGGAGGGAATTGGTTTTAGCATGGGGATCATCTCACTTTAAATATGTTTTAGGTACGTCAGTTCAGGACAGTTTTAAGAAGCTCAATGCGGTCAGTGGGAACATACTATTCTAAGGCAAATTAGGGTCTGTGTAGTTTGGAATTTAAACGTGCAAATTCTCTCTACTTGTGTTGTATTAAGTTTATTGTTGTTGGAGATTGTGTAAATGTCATTAACTCTGTCTTCCGTTGATTCCTTAGGAAATCCATAGGAAAGTCATGTCACAAAACTTTACCAATTGCCACACTAAGATCCGCCATGTTGATGCTCATGCCACTCTGAACGATGGTGTGGTGGTCCAGGTGATGGGGTTACTCTCCAATAACAACCAGGCTTTGAGGAGATTCATGCAGACATTTGTCCTTGCTCCTGAGGTATGAAGAAACAAGCAGTGAAAGGTTGTACAAATCTTTTTAGAAACTATTCATTTTGAAATTTCAAACTTACAGAAAAGTTGTAATAATAGTATAATACCTCACACATACTTCTCACCTAAGCCACTGCCAAAACTTGTCAATCCATTTGTATTCTTTTTCTGTTTACGTATCATTTTAATTCAGAACATTTCAACGTAGGTTGGAGACATCATGCCTAGTCATTCTCATAGACTTCAGTGAGCACTTCCTAAGCGTAAGGAATATTCTTTCATAACTACAGTACAGTATCTATTGTGTTTTCGGTGGGGGGAGCACTTTATAACTTTTGTGGTACAAGATGTATCAGGCTCATCTTGCACTCTCCCTGCTCCAGCCCCAGTCCTAGCTCTAGCCCCAGCCCGGGTTCTAGAATCTGCTGTTTATTCAAGGAGCCCTGGTTCTTTTCCTGCTTATCATGAAAGGGCCACAGGTTTATGTTGAAGAATTGCACTTGTCCTGCCTTCCTGATTGGCGCACACTGAACAAAGTCAGGAAGCCTATCTGCATAAGCATGTGGAAGTGGCTCAATAGGGACTTGCTGATTAGATGTTTTCTTCAGCATTACCCTGAAGATAATTTTCTGTTCAGGGGGCCTGGGTAGCTCAGTTGGTTAAGTGTCTGACTCTTAATTTCAGCCTAGTTCATGATTTCATGGTTCATGGGTTCGAGCCCCATGTTGGGCTTGGGATATTACTCCCCCTCCTTCGTCTCTCCTCTTCCCCATTTTTCTCTCTCTTCCTTCTCTTTTCGCTCTCTCCTCTCTCTCCACTCTCTCCTCTCCTCCTCCTCTCTGTCCTCTCTTGAATAAATAAATAAATAAATATTAAGATAATTTTGTCAGAATAATGAATCTAAAACCCCTATCATTTTACTATTTGAATAACTTAGTTGTCTTTTTCAGAAATTACATGTTTCATTTTAGTCATGAGTTTTAGAGGATGGCCTAGATTATCTGTAGTATAAAACTTGATGAAATTCTAACTATACAAAGTCAAGGGATATGATTACCAATTACTTTTAAGTTTGTTTAAAGTTCCTTTTCCAATTAAAGAGGAAGAATCTAATATTACCATAACATAATGCATTGCTACATGAACTGTCTGATTTAATATCCAAAGCTCTTAGGTAGATGGAGATGTGATATCCCCTAGCCCCCCTTTTTAAAATACAGATGAAGAGACAGTGTTGGAAACTGAATAACTAGTTAATGACAGTTGGATTTATACTCTGGTGTGTCTTCTACCTACTGTAGGCAGACCTTTTTAGCTGTAGCACTGTTGAGTGTTTATATCAATATTGGATACAGATTTAGGGAATTTTAAATACCTGCGGCAGTTGGTAATATGTAGTTATTGTTCAGAAAACGTTTTGAGACGTGTGGCATGTTACACACTTTACTAGTGTTTGGCTATCCATCTAGTGGTATTTTAAGGAAGCAGTGTATTGGGGTGTAGTTTTTAATGGCTATAATGTAGAGCAAGGGTTTTCATTCTTGGTGTTGGTAACATTTTGGGCCAGGTAATTCTTTGTTGCAGCTGGCAGTTCTGTGCTTTGTAGGGTGTTCAGCATCATCCCCGCCCTCAAAGCAGTAGTTTCAGTTGCATCCTCCTATGTGAAAACTGAAGTATCCTCAGACATTGCCAGATGTGTCTGGGTGGTGCGATATTGCTCTTAGTAGAGAACCATTGGTGTAGGGGATTTGACTTTTGGTGAAAATCTGAATAAATGAAGTTTTTGTTGGCATTGCAGGGCTCTGTTGCAAACAAGTTTTACGTTCACAATGACATCTTCAGATACCAAGATGAGGTCTTCGGTGGCTTTGTCACTGAGCCTCAGGAGGGTAAGTTACTTGTCTAAATTTTTTTTGATGGCATCAGGTTGACCTGAAGAGAGTATGGGTTTCTTGAATGTTTTTGTTATACTCTATATTCTTTATTAATAACTTCTAATTGTCAGGGCAGGGGAATGCTGAAGTTTTTAACCTACTCAAATCTAACAGGTCAACTGGCTTTATGGAAGACCTAAACTGAAGTCAGTAGTAGGTATTTACTCATTGCAACAGTAGTAGACCCCATGAACTACACGATACCTGCATTGTAGCCATGGTCATTCCAGGAGTTAGAACCCTAAGTTCAAGGAATCGAAATCTTTCTTAACGGGCAGTAAATGTGCCTACCCTTTGTTCTGGAGGGAGACACTTCTGAGGCTGCTGTATAAATATTTCTAAAAGACAGTCTGGAACAAAAAAGGTGGCCGTTGCCTTAGTTGTAAGATGTCTAGAAACACGAGAGACCCCTGAAGAATGGTCTCTAAACACTAATAATGATTAGTATATTAGTACTTCCGCTGTGTCTGAAATGATTTGTACTTTATATTTATTGTGTAATACAACAGCCTATAGATGACTATTTTAAGTACTGTTCTCATTTTATAGATTAGGGCACTGAGACAAGAGAAGTAATTTGCCTGATGTTGTATATAGCTCATTAGGTGGTAGAGCCTGCATTGGATTATGGGCCTCAAAATAACCTCAGATTCCATGTTCTTATTCTTACCCCAACCGTTACATTAGCCTTAATTCTGTACTTACAGCCTTTCCCATGATTTTACCAAACTGCCATGTTTTATTTACTTTCTGTATATATGTTGTTATTTCATTATGTTTTGTCTTAAAGTTTTTATTTAAATTCCAGTTAACATCAGTGTAATATTTATTTTACGTGTCTAGTATAGTGATTCCACACTTCCATACAACATTCGATGCTCATTACAGTGCACCCCTAATCCCCATCACCTATTTAACTCATCCCCCCACTCACCTCGTTACTTTTTTGATCATGATGAACACTGTAAAAATGAATATAATGTTGACTTTTGAACAACTTGGGGGTTGGGATGCTGACCCCTCCACACCCAATCAAAAAGCTGCATAGAACTTTTAACTCTATAAACTTTTTAACTATTACTAGTCTACCGTTGACTGGAAACTACTTACAAATATATCGATTAACATGTATCTTGTATGTTAAATATATTATTGTTTGTGTTCTTAAAGTAAGCTAGAGAAAAGAAAATGTTATTGAAATCATAAGAAAATTTATTTATAGTACTGTACTGTATTTATTGAGGGAAGATGTATGTATGAGTGGACCCGCACAGTTGAAACTCGTCCTAAGGGTTAGTTGTATTCGAGAATGAAATAAGCACAAATTGCTTTAAATTTCTTGTCTCATTTAGAATCTGAGGAAGAGGTAGAGGAACCCGAAGAAAGACAGCAGACACCCGAGGTGGTACCTGATGATTCTGGAACTTTCTATGATCAGACTGTCAGGTACGAAAACCTTTGTTGATCTGTCCAGAGCTGCATGAGAATTTGGGTTGTCTAGTCTTTCCCTTTGTTGGAAGGCAGTTGTGTATTCTCAGAATTATCTCTAAAAGTAACTGATTTCCTAGAAAAAGGTTTTTGCTTTTGGTATCTCTGAGCTAACAAAAATGTTATAACTTGTTTAATATCTATTGCACAATGAGAACTACTTAAATAGTATCCATCAGTTGCTTTTTGGTTTCATTTTTTCGTGGCCATAAGTGAAAAATAGATTTGGGGATTTTTTTTCCTCAAAGATTTTATTATTTTTAAATGTTTATTCTTTTGAGAGTGAGAGCGAGAGCTCAGGGGTCAGGGTGAAAGGGAAGGAGCTCAGAGAGAAAGGGAGAGAAAATCCCAAGCAGGCTCCACACTGTGAGCATGGAGCCCCATGCAGGGCTCAAACCCACAAAGCCATGAGATCATGACCTGAGCCGAAATCAAGAGTGGGATGCTTAACTGACTGAGCCACCTAGGCGCCGCCCTAGTATAGTAATGTTAACTATATGCAAATATTTGTGCAACAGATCTCTAGAACTTTTCATCTCTCAAAACTAAAACTATAACCTTCGAACAACTCTTTTCCCCTTCCATACAGTCTCTTAGTATGTGTGTAGGTGAATTGTGATAGTTTCGGGGTTGTAACAGAAACCACGATTTGATTCATTTTGATCTGTTTTTGATGTGTTTGCTTATGAGAATTTAGCTAATCTGATTTGCTCATTGAATGCTTTTCTAAGAAGTTGTCTTGTTTTAATACTCAGATCTTTTCTTGGAGAGAGGGAACTATTTCTTCCTTCCGGTCTCTGTAGTTAATAAAGACTTGGGTTTCTTGCTAAATCAGTAGAGGCAGAATGATGTTTCTCAAATTTCCCAAAGCAATGATTTGGAAGAACATTTAGAGGAACCTGTTGCTGAACCAGAGCCTGATCCTGAGCCAGAACCAGAGCAAGAACCTGTGTCTGAAATCCAAGAGGAAAAGTCTGAACCAGTGTTGGAAGAAAGTACTCCTGAGGATGCTCAGAAGAGTTCTTCCCCTGCACCTGCAGACATGGCGCAGACAGTCCAGGAGGACCTGAGGGTATGCAGATATCTTTGTTCTTCTCTGTTTCTAGGTGGCTTTTAAAAACCTCCTCCTTCCTTTATTATTGTTTATAGGTACATATTGTTATTATTGGTACATATTGTTATTATTGACTTTTATAGGTACGTTTTCATTGTTCAGGGAAACTTACTACATATTGATCCATACCTCAGATAAGAAGACACTTTCTTTTTTTTTTTTAATTTTTATTTCTGATAGAGTCAGTGTGAGCAGGGGAAGGTCAGAGAGAGAGGGAGACACAGAATTTGAGGCAAGCTCCAGGCTCTAGCTTGGACAGCTAGCTGTCAGCACAGAGCCTGACATGGGGCTCGAACCCACGAACTGTGAGTCATGACCTGAGCTGAAGTTGATGCTTAACCAACTGAGCCACCCAGGCGTCCCGACACTTACTGTTTTATAAAAGTAATTCTCTTTCCCGCCTAAGGAAACTTGAATACTTTTTAGACCAGAAATGTCAGGTTCTCTTTTATCACCATGTCAACAACCTCTCACTTTTTAAATATTTTGTTTCAAAATATGACATGCTTTCCCTTTGTAATAAAGACCCTTGAGAAAGTCGGGATAGAAGGAACTTACTTAAACATCATAAAAGCCATTTTTGAGAAGCCCTCTGCTAACATCATCCTCTACAGGGAAAAACCGAGAAGCTTTCCCCCTGAGATCAGGAACACGACAGGGATGTCCACTCTCACCACTGTTTAACATAGTGCTGAAGTCCTAGCATCAGCCATCAGACAACAAAAGGAAACAAAAGGCATCAGAATTGGCAAAGAAGTCAAACCCTCACTTTTCGCAGACAACATGATACTCTACATAGAAAACCCGACAGACTCCACCAGAAGCCTACTAGAGCTGATCCATGAATTCAGCAACGTTGCAGGATACAAAATCAACGTACAGAAATCGGTTGCATTTTTATACTCCAATAATGAAGCAACAGAAAGAGAAATCAAGAAACTGATCCCATTCACAATTGCACAAAAAAACATAAAATGCCTAGGAATAAACCTAACCAAAGATATAAGAGATCTATAGGTTGAAAACTATAGAAAACTTATGAAGGAAATTGAAGAAGACACAAAGATATGGAAAAACATTCCATGCTCATGGATCAGTAAGAATAAATATAGTTAAAATGTCATTACTACCGAAAGCAATCTACACATTCAATGCAATCCCAATCAAAATTGCACCAGCATTCTTCTCAAAACTGGAACAAACTATCCTAAAATTTGTATGGAACCACAAAAGACCCAGAATAGCTAAAGTAATATTGAAGAATAAAACCAAAACGGGAGGCATCATCATCCCAGACTTTAGCCTCTACTGCAAAGCTGTAAGCATCAAGACAGTATGGTATTGGCATAAAAACAGACACATAGACCAATGGAATAGAGTAGAGAACTCAGATTTGGACCCACAAATGTATGGCCAACTATCTTTGACTAAGCAGGAAAGAGTATCCAATGGAAAAAAGACAGTCTCTTTAACAGATGGTGCTGGGAGAACTGGACAGCAACATGCAGAAGAATGAAACTAGATCATTTTCTCACACCATACACAAAAGTAAACTCAAATGGATAAAGGACCTGAATGTGAGACAGGAAACCATCAAAACCCTAGAGGAGAAAGCAGGAAACAACCTCTTTGACCCTCAACCATAGCAATTTCTTACGTGACAGATCGCCAAAGGCAAGGGAATCAAGAGCAAAAATGAACTATTGGGACCTCATCAAGATTAAAAGCTTCTGCACGGCAAAGGAAACAATCCATAAAACTAATAGATAACCGACCGAATGGGAAAAGATAGTTGCAAATGACATATCAGATAAAGGGCTAGTATCCAAAATCTATAAGGAACTCGCCAAGCTCCACACCCGAAAAACAATCCAGTGAAGAAATGGGGAGAAGACAGGAACAGACACTTCTCCAAAGAGGACATCCAGATGGCCAACAGACACATGAAACGATGCTCAGCATCCCTCCTCATCAGGGAAATACAAATTAAAACCACACTGAGATACCTCATGCGGGTCAGAATGGCTAAAATGAGCAAATCAGAGGACTCTAGATGCTGGCGAGGATGTGGAGAAACGGGCACCCTCCTACACTGTTGGTGGGAATGTAAACTGGTGCAGCCCCTCTGGAAAACAGTGTGGAAGTTCCTTAAAAAAATGAACACTAGAACTCCCCTATGACCCAGCAATAGCACTGCTAGGAATTTACCCAAGGGATACAGGAGTGCTGATGCATAGGGGCACGTGTACCCCAATGTTCATAGCAGCACTCTCAACAATAGCCAAAACATGGAAAGAGCCTAAGTGTCCATCAACGGACGAATGGATAAAGAAGATGTGGGTTATCTGTACAATGGGATACTACATGGCATTGAGAAGGAATGAAATCTGGCCATGTGTAGCAACATGGATGGACCTTGAGGGTGTTAAGCTGAGCGAAATAAGTCAGGCAGAAAAGGACAGATACCATATGTTTGCACGTATAGGAAGATTAGGAGGAACTTAATGGAGAACCATAGGGGAGAAGGGGAAAAATAGTTGGGGAGAGGGAGGGAGGCAAACCATGAGAGACTCTTGAATGCGGAGAACAAACTGAGGGCAGATGGGGTGGGCGGGGAAGGGCGTGATGGGCATGGAGGAGGGCACTCTTGGGGATGAGCACTGGGTGTTATATGGAAACCAACTTGATAATAAACTAATTAAAAAAATATGACATGCTTGTTAAAAACAGATGGTAATGTGCCGTTTAAAAACATATCAGCACAACAGACTTTTTCCTGCTTTTTTTCTGAAATGTAACTGAGAGTAAGTTTATAGTAGAGGTAGAAACAAATTGCTGAACTACAGCTGCTTTTCTAATTAGAATACTTGATTTTCACAGTTTTGAAGCTTTTCAGTTACTCCTGAATTATTTCAGGATGATGTTAGCTGGAATCACAGAACATTATATTTGATGTTCTGTGAAGGAATGTGTTTTGTGCTGTATTTACAGGGCCAGGGTTCCTAAGGTTCCTTCTTAGATCATTTGTCTAACAGTTCAAGTGCCTCTGCTAGGCATTGTTTTGGGTGTGGAAGGTATTGGTAAAACAGGGTTCTTGGTCTCTCTCTAGAGGGCAGTCAGTGATGAGTTGAGTAGGAAAGTTGAGCTTGCAGGGAGAAAAATTGGCTGGATTGAGAAGGAATGAATAGGGAGGTGACTGCTATTGTAGCCCTGGAGAGAAATCCTGACACCTGGGATTAAGGTTGTGGCAGTGAAGGTAGTTAAGCTGTAAATAGCAAGGTTTGGGAAATTTGATATGGATTGAAAAGGTGTTAAAGGGAATTCTAAAGTTGATGTAATAGGGTTGATGTTTGTACCATTAATTGGGAGAATCCTAAAAGGAAACTGGTTTTGAAGGAAAGAGAATTTTCTTTGATTCTCAAACCTGAAATTGAGTGAAGGTAGTTTCTTAGACCTTAAACTTTTATTTTGTTGATACTTGATGACTAATCCTGGGGGATTTTAAAACTAAATTTGTAAGTAGAGGAAGAAAGGGAATCTCAAGATACTTAGAAACAACATTCTGCTTACGAAAATGTGATACATATATTATATACAAGATATTAAGAACTAATATCTTTTATATTATTTTGATAGGGTTAATCAACTAATGTTGTTGTTCCCTTAGACATTTTCTTGGGCATCTGTGACCAGTAAAAATCTTCCACCCAGTGGAGCTGTCCCTGTTACTGGGATACCACCTCATGTTGTTAAAGTACCAGCTTCACAGGTGAGTTTTTAAGCTTGTATTTCATGTAAAGTGGTTCACATTGGTTTGGACACTGTGGGAACTGGTACATAGAGCAAAGAAGAATACAGGGTGGTTTTTAATAATTTCCTTTTTGAGAGAGTTGTCATTTTTTTCTCTTATTTTTTATTATTAAAAAATTTTTAATGTTTATTTTCAAGAGAGAGAGCGAGCAAGCAAGGGAGGGGCAGAGAGAGAGGGGGAGACACAGACTCTCAAGTAGGTTCCAGGCTCTGAACTCTTAGCACAGAGCCTGATTTGGGGCTCAAACCCACAAACCCATGTGATTATGACCTGAGCTGAAACCTAAGAGTCAGATGCTTAACCGACTGAGCCACCCAGGCATCCCTGTCATTTTCTTTTAAACTTTATTGTTAGCTAAGAAACTTGACAAGATAAAAGGTGAGCTTGCTTTGTTTTTATACAGAAGTTAACTTACAAATTTTTCAGCCTCGTCCAGAGTCTAAGCCTGAATCTCAGATTCCGCCGCAGAGGCCTCAGAGGGATCAAAGAGTGCGAGAGCAACGAATAAATATTCCTCCCCAGAGGGGACCTAGACCAAGTAAGAGCTCAGAAGGGTGACTTCTAGTTTGGGGGATTTTGAGGTGAGAGCTTGTTCTTTAGGGGTGGTTGATATTTTCTGCTTTAAAAACAGTTATGGAGCTGATGGAATTTCCTGTGTTTGGGGGCAGAGAAGAAAATTATTGAATGAAATAGTCACAGAAAATGTCTTTCTCTTTCATTGCTCTTGTTTCTTAAGTCCGTGAGGCTGGTGAGCAAGGTGATGTGGAACCCCGAAGAATTGTGCGACACCCTGATAGTCACCAACTTTTCATTGGCAATCTGCCACATGAAGTGGATAAATCGGAACTTAAAGATTTCTTTCAAAGTAGGTTACTGAGTTTTAAATGCTAGATTTAACTAATACATCTGTCTGTTGAGATTTAAACACTAGATTCATCTAATACATCTATTTCCAGTAGAAATAGATGAGCCACATAAGTAATTTTAAATTTTCTAGTGGTTATTTTATTTAATTATGTCTTTTTTACATTTTAAAAGGTAAAAAGAAACTGGAGAATTTAATATTAATCATTAACCCAGTGTATCAAAGACATTATTTCAACATGTAAAAATAAGAGCTATTTTATATTTTTCCATATTAAGTCTTTGAAGTCCGTATGTGATAACACTTGTGGCACTTCTTATTTTGGACTAGCCACATTACAGGTGGTCTGTAGCCACATGTTGACCAGTGGCTGTCATTGGTTAGTGTGTATATAATATTTAAAGGATATGTTCTAAGAAGCTAACTTGAGAATCTTTGTTTCACTTTCAGGTTATGGGAATGTGGTGGAGCTACGCATTAACAGCGGCGGGAAATTACCCAATTTTGGTTTCGTTGTGTTTGATGATTCTGAGCCTGTTCAGAAGGTCCTTAGCAACAGGGTAAGCAGTTTTTCATCTTGATTTTTTTTTTTTTAATAAGAATAACTTGGATCTTTGAATATAGTCATTTTACAACTATGTCTTACTTACATGGAAAGTGCAATTTATTCCAACATGTTTTGGTAATATATTCCATTGTGATGGGCCATTATTGTTAAGAGTTTAGAGTAATAAAACTTCTGTCTAAATAACTTTATTTTTGAGTCGTATGATGAGAATGAGTTAACTAATAGTTACCAATGCACTGAAACTTAATGCAGATTTCTTTCCTTGGTCATTTCTGGTTTAGGAGATGAAATAGTGTTACTTTTAACTAAGATAAGAGCCCATTTCCCCAGGGCAGTTGTCTAGGTTTAGAGTCCTGCTCTCTGGAACCAATGTCATTAACAGTACTCTTCCCACTGGTGCTTTCTAATAATAGAGGGATTTTGTAGATCTGGAGACTTACTACTGTGTGGTTCTTAAGAAACCTTCCCTTTCTCCACATCTTTCATTAGCACAAAACACTTTCTGTACTAGTAGTAGAGAACAAAAGTTACTAAAAAAACACTGTTTGTTGTGATGGGTGTGGGATTTTTTAAAAAACTCAAAAAATTGAGGTGAAATTCATATAACATAAAGTTAATCATTTTATTTTGAGAGAATGCTGGGGGAGGGGGTGGTACAGAGAGAGGTGGAGAGAATCTCAAGCAGGCCTTGAGATTCTCTCAGCGCAGAGCTCGATGAGATGAACCCCGTGAGATCACGACCTGAGCCTAAATCAAGAGTCAGATGTTTAACCGATTGAGCCACCCAGGCCTCCCAGTCATTTTAAAGTGTAAAACTTAATTGCTTGTAATCCATGTTGTGCCACCATCACCTGTCCAGCTACAAAGCATTTTCATCAAAAGTTGCCAACAACGAGTCAGTTTCAGATTAAAACTAGACATTTTCTTAACCATGCAATAAAAATCTTGTACGTCATCACTTCCCAGAGGTTCTATAGAACTCTACATACTTCTTCAGAATGTTGATTGCTAAACTGCCAAGTTTACTGTTGTCATAACATTAAGCTGTAATCTGCAAATGTGTATTTAATCTTTCAAACTATTTGACCACTATTTTTATGATGCATCGGCTGCAGAAACACTTAGAAGTAAGGAGAGGACAGTGGCTTTTCCTAGCATAGGCACCGAATACTGAACCTAGAAATGTCCCATAAGTTTCTTGGATAAATCCATCATTCAGCATACGGGGTATGATATTCATCGTTAGAGGGTTTGATATTCTTAGTGGGCCAAAAGAGGTCAGACCCGATAACTGGCTTTTTAGTTACAAGTTGGCAGTTTAGTTAAAATAGGCTCTTTTAGGGGCCACCTGAGTGGCTCAGTCGGTTGAACGTTGAGCATCAGAGTTCAGCTCAGGTCATTATCTCGCGGTTCATGTGTTTGATCCCCACGCTGGACTCTGTGCTGACAGCTCGGAGCCTGGATCCTGCTTCGGATTCTGTGTCTCCCTCTCTCTCTGACCGTCCGCTGCTCATGCTGTCTCTCTCTCTCAGGAATAAGTGGAGAAAAAAACATTAAAAAAAAACCAAAACGACTAGCTCTTTAATTAGTTCCAGGTAAGGGGTTTGTTTCCTTTAATGAACATGGAGAAGCCATGGCAGAAGAACTTTCTGCAATAAATTTTCTCAGAAAGGGGCTGTGTGTCTGAGACATTTTTCTCATGCAAATTATTTCTACCCTGCCCTTTAAAACATCCCTAGCTCCAATCTCTCTCACCTTATTAGAGTTTAATACGGTTTTATTTTTCCTGTTGTATGTAGAATATTGTCTGGAACAGTGCATCAGATTAATGTGTGTGAAGTGGTTTAATACAGTGTGAATCTTAAAACATTACATAAATATTTATATTATTTTAGTGTTATGAGTGTACAAATACATATTTAATCAGAAATTTAAATATAAATCAGGTCAAAAGAGCCCTCCCACCCCCTTTCCGCAGGCTTCCTCACGTGTACTTTTATATCACCTCTTTGTACTTGGGAGCTTCAAATGTAGCTTGTCTTTTCCCCCCCTTCTTCCCGTATTGGCAGACCTCTGCCATACTATCTTCAGTAATTTTTTAGGGGTACAGAAATACTTTATGTAAGACTGATGACCATGGTGTTGGACATGCTGTAGTGTAGTCTAGTGGTTTTAATTGCTGGTTAGGATGCCTTCATTTCCTTCTTCCATTGTTCATTATGTTGTGACCGATGGGTAAGTTCCTGAACATTCCTGGCCCTTAGTTTGCTGGCCTCTAAAGTAGTGTAATGACAGCTCTTGAAGGGTGGTTGTAAGCATTAAATGAGAAAATAAGTGTGAAACATATAGAACACTTCTTATCATAGTACTTTTAGGCATTTATTTAAAAATATATATATAGGGGCGCCTGGGTGGCTTAGTCGGTTAAGCGTCCGACTTTCGCTTAGGTCATGATCTCGCGGTTCTTGGGTTCGAGCCCCGCTTCGGGCTCTGTGCTTACTGCCAGCTCAGAGCCTGGAGCCTGTTTCAGTCTGCGTCTCCCTCTCTCTCTGACCCTCCTCTGCTCACGCTCTCTCTCTCTCTCTCTCCTAGAAATAAATAAAAAAAAATATTAAAAAAAGTAAAAATAAAAATAAAAAAATATATATGTATATCACGGGGTGCCTGGGTGGCTCAGTCAGTTAAACGTCCAACTCTTGATTTGATTACGGCTCAGGTCATAGTCTCATGGTTGGAGAGTTCAAGCCCCATGTTGGGCTCTGTGCTGACAGCTTGGAAGCCTACTTGGGATTCTCCCTCTCTCCCTTTGCCCGTTCCCCAACCCTCCCTCCCGCTCCCCCTTCCCTCTTCCTTTCCTCTCTCTCAAAAAAATGTCACTTAGAAAAGTGTCAGGAGCATAAATTAGATTTGTTGAAATCTCTAGTAACCCTTTATTTTCTACTTTGGATTGGGCTAAAAGCAAGGCCTAAGACTTGGTGTGGATGTATCTTTTTTCCTTCACTAAGGTCCTCTTTATTGTCTTCAGTATTGTCCAAAATTTTGTTAAGGTAAATAGCATTTTATTACAGTTTTATTTAGATGAAATTAATGATGTTTTTGAGATGTATACATACTTTGCCTAAGTACATGCAAGCATAATCTTTCCACATTAGGTGATGGGAGTTTATATAAGCCTTCAAATCCATGGGGAAGGTGGCAATTCTTATATTGTTCTATTTATATAATTCTATGGGAAAATAACATTTTGCTTATGGAAGTATAGTGAGAGTTATTTGTGCTGCTGTGTTGGTCAAATTGTCCTTTTTTTGAACCAGTTTGCATACCTAGCTCCACTTCTCCATGTGTTTAATGATGTGTTCTGAGTTTGAAAAAAAAAAACTGAGCTGAGAATGTAGCCGATTTGTAAATTGCTGGTTAACCTTATGATAGCTTTGTTGGTTTTATCTTTGGGAGTTGGTAGCCCATACGCACTCTTGAAGTATGCTCACCTTTATTTCTGCAGCCCATCATGTTCAGAGGTGAGGTCCGTCTGAATGTGGAAGAGAAGAAGACTAGAGCTGCCCGGGAAGGAGACCGTCGAGATAACCGCCTGCGGGGACCCGGAGGTCCTCGAGGTGGGCTAGGTGGTGGAATGAGAGGCCCGCCCCGTGGAGGGATGGTGCAGAAACCCGGATTTGGAGTGGGAAGGGGAATTGCTCCAAGGCAGTGAATTGCTCTTCATTGATCTTCACGCAGCAGTACAAATCTAGCTCCTGCAGAATGGTGAATTTCTTATACCAGCATTTGGTATCCTGGAGTATGACCCTAGTCTATTATAAACTGCTTAAGTTTGTACAATTTTACTTTTTGTGTTAATGATGTGTGCTCCCTCTCCCTTCCCTCTCCTCACCTTTTTAGTCCTTCACTTCCAATTTTGTGGAATGATATTTTAGGAAAAACAGATTTTTAAAGAAGAGAAAAAGACTGAATTTCCTTGCTTTACTTTTGAATATACAGACTGGATTTTTTTTTTAACAGCTGTTTCCCCAAAGGAATGTATCTTACCTATTACTGACATTTGGTATGTTTCATTCATTGGACTATTTCTTATTTTCTATGTGTTTCAAAAGCCTATGAGAAACACAGGATTTGATAAACATTTTGAAGGCAGGAAAAATCTAAATTGTTTCTTCTTTGAGAGTCATGGCTACCTTCTGGTGTGTAGAAATTGCCATTGGAAAAATTGACAGTTTTGATTCTTGCTGGTATGGTTAAAAACTGAATAAAAGGTGTTAGTAGAGTTTTTTTTTTCTTTTGATACGTGATCACAAAACAATTAAAAACCTTCTGTTTTTACCATTTAAATTTAAATTGTGAGATAGGTTTTAAATGTTTAGGATTCAATTGATTAGATTTCTTTTGAAGTAGGGTTCTTTTCTGTTTATTTTTAAAACAAACAAAACAAAAACAAGCCCAAAATACAACAAAAAAAGAAACTCCAAAATCCGAAGAACACAAAACCCAGAGCAAAACTGTTGTGCCTTCTATTTATCTTTGATTCCAGCCTTGGCAATTGTTGAAAGAAAAAAAAAAGTCTAGATTTGTTTTTACCAGGTATAGAGTATGTTGGGAATCGAAGAAATCCCTCTTTCACCTTGTATGTATTCTGTTCATTTGTTTTATGCCTTATACTTAAATTGAGTCTCAAACTGGAATGCCTTTGAGGACAGACATGCTTCTTTCTATAGAGGTCCTTTGATCTAAATAGTCCAGCATTTGTATTAAGTTTTATTTCGGTATCTGTTCATCACAGCCCATAAGAAGGAATACGACTTTAATATTGGACTTTGTGCTCGAGTGTCTGCCGGTTTTTTCTTTAAATCATAGGCACATGGTAAATTTTCTGTTTTGTTATGGTTCTCTTTTATTGATGGGCATACAGTGGGTTTTTCTTGGAAATGGCCAATTTTTATTAAAATATTTCTGGAAGAAAAATTAATCTGGCAATATAGACTAATATTCGTTTTACATAGTATGTTAATTTCTTGCGGGGAGTGAGGTGGGTAAAGGTTTTGTTCACACACTTGTGAAGCAAGCCTTTGTGTGATAACTTGTCCTACTAATTTGAAGGGCAGTGAGGTTGTCAAATTTAACTTATTTATTAACAGTGTTCATCTTTAGGACTGTTTGAGGAGAGTATATGAGTAGGATTAGGAATGTTTGTTTTGCTATTACTGGGAAACTCTAGGTTTGCTGAAGGGTGTAGTCTTAAACTAAAATGAAGTTTGATATTATCGGTCCTCAGTACCTCAGATATTTGAAAATTGGGAACATCACCTTCACATAAAGAAAATTACATAACTGAGTCACATGGCTGTTTTTTGGGTCGGTTTAAGTAACTATTTGGTAACAACTTCATTTGGACCAGGCCAATGATAATTGGAAGACATTCAGCTTGTACGTTTGTAGCTTATATTAAGCCGGTGGTGGAAAGAAAAAACTTAGCTGGAGATATTTTTGAAAAAAACTTTTTAAGTTGTAGTAACTAAAGTCATAAATTATGGATAATCTAGAAATCATTTTTCACAAATAAATGCTAAACCACACATTTCACAATAGGTGTTTTTCCTGCTCCATGGTTTAAGGGCACTTAAGTGGATGCAGTGATTCTCAACTGGGGCTGTTCATACTTCCTAGAGGACATTTGGAAATGGGTGAGATTTGGGGAGGAGGGAAGAGGAGTCACCACACACATCTGGCATTTAGTGGGCGGGGCTGACAGTGCTACCATAAAAAGGAAGCACACCCCGTTGAGATCATGGCTATTCCCCATTCCCTATAATGTGTGGAACATGGAAGGGGTGGATGAGGACAACTTGAAGACTGTTTGGTTTGAAAAATAGCCTCAGATAAATTAAATGAATTATCAAATAGAAATCTCTTTCAGGAATTACTGTAACATCTGCAGGTAATTAATAATCTCACTTTTCCTGTACCCATGTGTGGGTTTAAATATGCTAGGTGCTTTTTGTAACTTGTTGCATAAGCTTAGAAAAGTAAGGTTGCTTTAGTAATTTCAAGTCCTCAGAATTGGGATGATTGTGGAGTTTTAAGTAGCAACGGACTTTATGTATCAGATTTAGCATTGTGGTTAACACTATGAAGAATCCTAATATCATTGTTTACATTATTGCTGATAGAATAAACATGATACCCTCGATACACATATACTCCCACAGATAGAAAGTGAAAATAGGTTAGGACAAGATTTTCTCTAGGCAGTACTAACTTATCACATTTAAACTTTTTGAATTTTAAAATACTATTTTTCATCTGTAAGAATGCCCCAATGTACAGTTTTTTTCTGTTAAGCTTTAAACCCTTTACCCATAAGTATTTTAGCTAAGTAAGATTAGTTTGGTTCAGTGGGTCTTAGTCTTGTAAGACCTTTTGAAAGCAAGCAGATCTTAGGCCTTAACAAAAATACATGGATTGGGCTTTACTCTTGTATTCCTATGTTTTCAACTTTGTGAGCTTTTGTTTGCTGGAAGCAGTAAAATGGATAATCCAAAAATCATTCTTTGGCTTTGGATGGGTAGGTTACTTACCACAGGATTAGTTGAACTGCACTTTAGTTTTAGATTAGAGAACTAATTTTCACAATTACCCTGTGGATTAGGTGCTATTTTTCCCAAAGTAATAGATGAAGAAGAAATCTCAGCAGTTAAATGACTAGGCTTCTAAGTCATCCATGTAGCAAGGAGCAGATTGGCCTCCAAAATTGATGCTTTTTCCCTGGAACCCTGATGCCTACCCATTTTACATTTGAGTGACATATTAAAGAACAAGGCGTGACCATAATAAGTTATCACAGTACAGAGACCTGAGTCTCATTCAGAGAAAGGTTAGAATTACTCTTCTCCATTTCCTTTAAGGTAAACTAGATAGGGAAACCTTAATTTTGTAGGGCTCCTTTGATTTATAGATTGTGGTAACAGTAATGATTTGTTTTTAGGGTTTTTTTCTCACCTGAATTTTAAATACACGTATAACCTTGAACCTAGATGTGGAAGGTAACATTAATTTTATAATCCCTTAATCCAGGTGGGTTTATAGCAGTTGTGTTTTGTGCTCATAACTGCCATTCTCAGATACTTCTCTTCATCCCTTTATTTGAAAATCCTTGTAGAGTTTAATAATTTAGTGGGGAACGTGGCACTTTATAGGAAGCAATTTGTTAGAACCAGTATGGTTGCATTTGTCAAATCTACTGATCTAAAGATAAGTTTATATTGAAGTTTTATTTTTGTGCTACTTAAAAGAATCTCTGAAGGAACTGCATACAGATAAGACCTTTGGTTCAGCAGTTAGGAACCTTTTAAGAAAAGCAACTTCAACTTTTATTTGAATATGGGGTTTTAGCTAACTGTCTAATATACCGCAAATGGGCAGTGGACAGTTATTCTTCCACAAATGTGTTAGAAACCTTGAAGAATGTGTTAGAAACTTAGCAACATTTTGTGTGGGAAGTTGCTGATGAGTAAGGATTTCTGGTTTTAAGGTAGTAATGCCTTTTGGAATTTTTGTTTACTGTGATTGAGGTTCTGGGGACCACACGTTGGCTTGTGAACTCCTATGAAACTATATTAAAGGAGAAATGGTAGCACATGTGACCTAAATAAAACTTTTTTTACTTCTTAGTGGATATGTAGCTATTTCAGGATAATGCTGAAATTCATCTGCTTTGCTCTTGCTTTCATGAAACAGTCTCATAATGGCCTGAGTGAAAAGTAAAAAGTTGATTAGCAGAGATCTAAAAACTCTTATGTATGATTATACTTATGTATTGGCTTAGAATTAAGGTTGCTCACTTTTTGATCATATGACTTGTTTTGAAAACCTTGGACAGTCTCTGCTTCTCCAGTTTCCACTTGAACCTGGTAGCGTTTCTTAGCTCTCTATGAGAGGAAAATAGTATTGGAAATCAATTTCACGGTTACTTCCATAGACCATGTGACCTGGCCAGTTACAGAAATCCATAGGAGTACCTTGGAATGTGGCCAGTGTCACAGATTCATAAGGGACTTGCAGTCATCCAGTGTGTCTTCGTCTTTTAAAAAAACAAATGTTTACCAAAAATACGCTATTAAGTTACTTTAACAAGTATTTATTTTTTAGAAACCTGCTTATGGGAAGTTTGCATACATTTTTTGGTAGTAACTAGAGATGATTATATCTTGCTTAATCTGGATATAAACACTTTTAACTATTTGATGTGATTAACTACTTTGGTTACTGATTTTCTCCCCAAGGTTTGATGTCACCTGTTTGCCTTTGGATTTGGTTTAAATTCTTAAATGTTTTTATGAAGAGTATATACACTAATTTGGCCCTTTTAAATGAAGTCATTATACCAAAAAGCTGGCATCAGGAAATAGGGGAGAAGAACAAGTCTTCCTTTCTTTAAAGATTCCATGTATGCTTAAATAGATTATGTAGAACACATGTTGAAAATGAATTCATATAGGTAGATGTTAGATTTTGGAGAAGGGGTGGAGGTGGAGTTAGCTGGTGGGATAAGAATCATTTGTGATTAATATGTAAAAAATAATTTTGAGTGAGAAACATCAGAATATTTAAAGTTTTTGTTCCCATTTTGATTACTACCGTAAGAGACAGGAGAGACTCCTAGAACTCTTTAAATCCTAGAATGTTAGTGCTGGAAAGGACTAAAGGTTGTACAACTCCTTTATTTTTCAAAAGCTAAATGGCTCAGAGAATAGATTATTAGCACAAGAGTCCCACATTGGCTTGTAGAAGTAACACGGGTCACCTTCAGGGTCACCACTCTGCCCGAGGTTCACTGTAGGAAGCCAGGTCAGGATGTGGGGAGAAAAGGGAAGGAGCCACATTTTATATGCTTACTCAGTTGCTTCTGTAGCTCAGTTTTCATACCCAGTTTTTCTCAATTTTCTTAGAGCTGTCTTAATGCCCAGCTCTACCAGGGCCTGTTGTCTAAGGACATTATTATCTTGTGCTCCCCTCAGGGATGGGTTTACTACTAGCTGTCAGAAAGCTATTGGGTATCCTAATGTTAATAGCTGAAACTCAGCTGTAATTTTCTCCTAAATCCTTCAGCATTTTGCATTCTGTACATTGTGGTGCTTTCCCACCTTGTATTGTTATAACTGTAAGCTCCTAAGGGGCAGCAATTTGGTCTTAGGCATGTACTCTGTTCAGTGCCTGGCAGCACCACCTACCTGTCAGGGTCCTAATCTTCCTTTCCAGTGATTTCTCCCGTTCTTCATGGAGGTGATGCGCCAGCTGCGCTAAAGTACTTCTTGTTTTTCTAGTAAGCCCGGCATTGCTGATATTCGTGGCTTCAAGTGCCTTTTCTTCCCTACAGATAGACTTGTATCTGCATCTCCCCTTCCCCAAATCTTGCCATCGAAATTGCTTTTTTCAAGACCCAATTCAAGACCATTTTCCTTTTCCCTAAGAGAAAAGATTTGCAACAGGTGTGGGGAACCCCTTTTTTGGGGGGTTAATTTGGCCAGAATTTGAAGTGGGGAGCAAAGTCATTCTCATCTACTTCCCTTCTACATTGTCCTTCCTGTTTGAGATTCTGTCCCAACCTTCACTTAAAAAAAAATACGTGTTCCTAGAGCACTTTTAACCTTTCTCCTTGCTCATAACTTACCCCTTTAACCTACAGTTAGAATGACCTGCATCTGTTGTACTACTACCATAATAGACCATAGGCCCCTCGAGGACAAGGACGGCTTAATTTTCCCTGTATTTCACCAGAAGGTACAGTGACCCCCATGAGGCGTCCTTAAAAGAGCACTCATTGAGTTGAATCAATTAATGTATTTATTGTTTTTTATTCTCACAACGAAGACGTGCCTAGAGATAGGACCTAATAACTTTTAGGCTCTAGGACAATTCATATTGGAGGGGGTTGTTGGGAAAATTTGAGGGGTGGACAGAGGAGGAAGGAAGTCACTGAGGATCACGCGAGGGACTTCCATCCTTGGTCTGGGTGATTAGCCATTTTGGATGGTGCCCAGTATATCCCAGACACCTTGTTCCTGTGCAGAAGAAGAATTTTATGTGCCAACTTTCATTTTTTTTTCCCAAACCTAGTCCGTTATTCTCCCAGTTCATGTCCTCTCCTATGCCCAAAGTCTACGTCCTCTGCTTTTTTTCTTACTCCAGCCAAGTCCTGTCAGTGCTACCTCAAGTCTTTCACACCTCGTTCCTCCCCACTTAGATGATTTCAGTGGCCTCTCAGCTTCCTTTACCTGTTCTTACCCCAGCCTGCCTTATACACGATATTAGATTCATCTTCCTGAAACATAGCTCTGACCATGTATCCCGTGTATGTGTTCTGTCTCCCCTACTAGACTGTAAGCTCCTTACGGGCAGGGTCTGTCAGAGTCATCTTTGTATCTCCCATAGTACCTATCAATAAATATTTCTTGAATGAACCACATAAAGCCTTGTCTTAAGTGAAATGATGTTCTCTAGATTATATGTAGGTTCCTCTCTGGGGTAATCACAGTACTTCAAAAGTTTTTTCACAGATAAAGTTGGTTAAATAGTAACAATGAGTTGACCACAGAGAAAATTTCAGAAAATTTTAATTTTTTTCCATTGGAATCAGCATGGATATGTGTATATGGATGGTTCAATAAATATATTTTTATATACATGTATCACAGAAATTTTACATTACGTCTTCAAACTGCAGAAATAGATTTTTTTATAAGCCAAAAAATAACTGCCATAACTTTTATGATTTCATGCAAAAAAGGGGAAAGAATAAGGGGCAAGAGGGAATTGATTGTTTCAGGTTAAGAGTCCAGTAAGAAGTAAAAATGTTACATTAAGGAAGCGATTGCTTAACACGCTGCTTAAGGTGGTAGCCAGACAAATCCTTAACTGCAGCATTAAGGCCATACCAAGTTTATACATATATACAAAGAAATTTCCATATAAAAGACATACTATCACATTTTCTTCTGGGAAAGGATGAGGAGCTTTGTGAGTAATTCTGACCCAGTTTTCCAGTCCAATTGTTTAAGATGTCCTCAGGCTCCTGAAATCTCTTCTACTTTGGCTAGCTGTCAGTTGCTTTTATGTGGGCTTGTGAATTTTGTATTCTCTTAATGCAGAAGTATGAATCATTTGAACTTTTTCCATTATGGGTGATGAAGCACTTTGTAGCTTAACTAACTCACACTGCCCAGCCCAGCATATTTTACATCTCCTCCCCAAAAGTATTGGAATCACAGTCGGAATTGTAGTTGTCTTACCTGTATCAGACTCCACAGCCAGTGTTGGCATTGTGACCTGAAGAAATACACTGTGCCTGTCTATTCTTTGGGGTTAAAATAACTTTGAGTAGTTAAAGTGTAACGAACCAACTTGTGAGGTTTCAAGGTAACATATCCTGGAACTGGTGAAAACACTTTTACCCCCTGTATGTCATGACATACTTAAGTCGGTAGCTACCTTTTTGAGAAAAAGGAAATGTAAAATCGCTTGCAGAAGAATAACAACATGGGGTTTGTTCTTCTGTCTAAACATGAAATGAGGCAACTTTTAAGACAAAGGGTACATCTGTTGTGCAAATATCTAAGTGCGTGAAATGGCGAAAATCTAAGGGCAAGTCCTTTGGAGATGACTTCCAGATAGGCAAGAAGTCACCTGCTTTGGCAAGCTTGGGGTGAGACTCCCGAGAGTGCACAACTTGTTCTGTCGGCAGAAACTGGCCCATCTTAGTGGATGAATCTTGAGTTAAAAGTTACTAAGTCTAAGATAACATTATGTCAATAAAATATCCTATTACCCAGTGACTGAGCCTTTATTTGATAATGTTATCTCCTTTGGAATGTTTTAAATCAGTCTAATGCTGCTTTTTCATTAATGTTGTAGCTGTGAATTGGAAATCACTAGTAGTCCTGTTTGTCCCTACTTCTCTGTAGACCATTTTCCAGCTATGGCTCCAGCATGTTTACAACAATTATGGCTGCAAGGTAATTCGGTCTCCTCCCGTGGGTTCCCTGGGCCAGTCAAGTTTGAGGTCTCTGGAAATGGCTTGTCTTGGGAGAGGACCAAATTGTGATTTGGAAGTACTGTAGCGTGTTTGAACATTTAGAAAGTAAGCACTCACTGTCCTTCCCAGTCATGCCTCAACCGCTCCTAACCAAAAATGCTAGCTCTTTACATTGTGATACTTTACATCGGTTCTAAAGTGGTTTTAGCCAACGGGTCAGTTACAATGCTTACCTACACACTGAGGCATGGACATCCTTTGGCAGTCTTACCTAGAGGGCTTAAAAGTATTAAGCATTTTGTCTTGGTTACTTTTGTTCTCTTTGTACATTTCAAGTCTAATTATAGCAGTTGAAGACATATATTGTGTCCAGTTTTTTAAACTTATTTTGGAGGCCACTGAGTACCTGGTGTATTTGTCTTGAAAGTAGAAGTTAATATTTGTCTTGAAAGTAGAAGTTAATATTTGTCTTGAAAGTAGAACTTGGCTGTTTAGCTTTTTTTATTTTTTCATTTTATATTTTTTTCTTTAGGTAGGCATTTTATCTGTGCCCAATATACTAAGCAAGATACTTTCTTTGGGGTTTAATTTGCTCATCTCACTTTAACTGCCATTAGTGTTAAAACACTATAATG